TTGGTAGCCCAGGCTGGCCTCGAACTCACAAAGATCCGCCTGCCTCTGCCTCCCGAGTGCTGGGATTAAAGGCGTGCGCCACCAACGCCCGGCTGCATCCTTACTTTCTATAAAATCAAATCCTACTAAAATCCTATTTTCAACTTGGCCATTTGGAAGAAAAAACATTAAAACCCCAACTGATTCTAATTTTTTAGGAATACGTATTTTTAGGAATACATTTTCTTTTTTTTTTTTTTTTGGTTTTTCGAGACAGGGTTTCTCTGTGTAGCTTTGCGCCTTTTCCTGGAACTCACTTGGTAGCCCAGGTTGGCCTCGAACTCACAGAGATCCGCCGGGCTCTGCCTCCTGAGTGCTGGGATTAAAGGCGTGCGCCACCACCGCCCGGCTCAAGGAATACATTTTCAAACACTTGTTAAAGGAAAAAAAAAGGCAACATAGAGATTGCATTGTTAAAAAAGTTGAGACCAGCCAGGCTGTGGCAGCACACACACTTAATCCTAGCACTTGGGTTGGCAGAGGCAGGTGGATCCGAGTTTGAGGCCAGCCTGGTCTATAAAGCTAGTTAGTTCCAGGAAAGCCAGGAAGAAGCTAAGACCATAGGTAACCTTAGGCCAGGGTTTGAGAGGCCTTTTTTTCAGAACTACTATTTTCTGATATTTCTGATTATTGGTATGTCCACACAGGTATGTTCATCACGTGTTGTGACTGTGCCGTGTGCACTTCATGTGGGCAGGGCCAAGGCTTTGTTGGCTCTGCTTTGACCACTCCCCACTTAAAACTGTGCCCGTGCCGTGGCCGGGTGCAGAGGGCAGTGTTGTAGTTGGTTCTTTCCTTCTTTGTGCTCAGGTTTGTAGGGAACTGGTGCGTATCTTACCAGCCTGTCCACCTTTTGCTCTTTTAGACAAGATCTTTCACTGCGCTTGAAGCTTATTAATTTAGCTAGGATGGAGGAGCGAGTAATGAGGTTTAGGGACCCACTTACCTCCACCCAGTCCAAGCCAGGTGATTACTGTTATACCCTTCCAATCTGCTTTCACACTGTCTCGAATGTGAAGGACCTCCCAGATCTTGAGTAAGGCACCTTTTTAAATTGGTAATGACTTGAAATGCGTTCTATTTGCTTAGCAAAGGTTCTCTAGCTCTGCTTATTCATGGTAACAGTCCAGCAACGACGAAGCCCTCATCCTACAGATGTAGCAGTGAAACTATTGAAATAAAACAGGAAGGTGTATAGGTTGTCTCCTCCATCACAGAACTTCAGAATTCCCACTTCAATATTCACTCAGCTTAGTTCTAAACTACTACTTAGGAATAAAAACCACACTAACCTGTCACTCAACTACAAGTGTGCAGATTAGCCCTGGCAATGTCACATTTCTGTGGGTTGAGGTTTAGGCACCTCAGTGACCAAGTACAGTCTTACTCTTCCATTCTAGGTAAACCATATCATCTTTATATTTTCTTAAAGTCATACATAAAGACTTAATTGAAAGAAATTTTATTTTAAAAAGACTTTATTCATTTTGATCAGGGAAAAATGACAATCTCAATGTCAACTTGTCACCTAATTGTAAGCTTGAACTCACAGGTATTTCTTATTCTGGATATTGTACCTACTAACATAATGTGAAATGGTCTCTTCTGTTGTCTTGGCTGCAAGTCAAAACAAACAATTTTTAATAGCCAACACTGGTACTTGGCCATAGTAAACGAGGCCAACGCATTGTAACTCGATAGCCTAACAAGTACAAATACTGTCAGAACAAAGTTGTAGGCATTTTTAAAAAAGGTTATCAGTATAAAAAGCTTACAATGGTCTTCTAAGACCAAGTACTCTAAACTTGAACATATTCCAAACCCAGAAGCGTCTGTGGAACCATGGAAACCCCTTTTCTAAGTCCAACCATTCAATGGAAAACTCAAAGCTTGTATTACCTTAAAAATTGTTTTTAATGCACCAGAAGATAGACCACATGACTTATCTTTTCCACTGGCCCCCTCCTCTGCCTGAATACAGAACTGATTAAATCTACTCAGCTCCCGCACTATGGTGGGATGGACGCACGAGTGCTAACTTTCCTAAATTCACCCCACTACATCCAAACTTCAGGAGAATCCCAGACGTATCTGAGCAAGCCCTTCCTACCATTTGACAGCATTCTTCCCTTGCATTTACCTATAGCACTAAAACCCCAACAGCCATGGTGACCACCTAAAGTTTTCTCTACAGACAAGTCATTAACTCTTAAAGCCAAAGCCATCTATGAATTATACATGGTTTGTCAGACAGGAACAAGCAAAGATAGCCACTTAACAAGCTCTGTGCTGCTAACAGGCTTTTCATTTTCTGTGGTGATGGGGATAGAAACCCTGGCTTCATTTATGCTCAGACAGCACTGTGCCAGTGAGGCAGTCCTAGCTCAGGAAGGAGATTTTTCCTCAGAAAGATTCTAAAAGCATAGTTCACACTAGAAGCTAGAAAGCTTCACCAATCACAATAGACTGTAGTGCTAGTCTCCAGATACCTGGAGAGGGAACATTATTCAAAAGGTGTAGAATCAATCTCACTTAACAGAAATGAAGCCTTAGACTTTAATTATAGACTATGTCTACAGAAACCAGGAACAAGGGACACTAGGACCAGTTTCTTCCTGTGGACCAATACCCCCTACAAAAAAAGCTGTGCCTTAATTATTGCTTCTTTATAAAATTACATTTCCACAGAACTATGCAGTACCTGACGCAGAAAAACAATCACATAAGGAAGCATTTATTGGAGGTTTAACATGAATCATACAAATAAAAAGGCGTATAAACACAAATCCACATTGAGTCATAACACAGATAGCAAAGGACAAAGTGAAAACAAAGAAACTAATGGGCAGCTATATACAGTTGGACACAATTGTGTCATGTACACTAGAAAGTCTTTTACAAAATAATCATCTTAGGTCAACAGAAGATCAAGCAATCTTCAATGTCGTCCTGTAAGATGGTTTCTTTACACCTCCTAAAACAAAAACAAAACCACCATTAGATGTGTGCAATCCTCACAAGCTTGCAAAGGTCCACTTTCATGAATTGTTTTAAGTCCTCACTTTATTCTTTTCTTCAATAGTTAAAGATCACATGCATATTCATTAACAAAGTGTAGTTTGGGTATTTGAAAAACTCACTGGAGTTCCCAAATGGTATTAGGAGGATTTATTGGAAAACACAGGAATGCAATCTTCCCAGTTACAAGCCTAGCAGACAAAGACCAACTAGAAGCACAGCTCTAGTAAGTCAAGGAGGACGCTGTCACCAATGCAGATTTCAGGTTCCGATTGTAACACGACAACGAATTGCTCTGTGCATGTGATCTTTAACTTATATCCCAGATTTAAAAGTTCTTGTTTTGGTTTGTAGATTTCACTATTAGCTATAAAAAGAAAAAGCAAGCATTAAATCTTAAAGAATGGACACTTAAAATGAGGCTCCACAATTGAAATACAACACTAAACAGAAGACCAAAATGATTAAGCTGTAAAAAGGCATTTATGTACTTTAACTCCTGCAAAAAACCATTTAAGTTAAGTTTAGACACTTAATCTCCAAAAAGATTAAAAAGAAGCCAAAGTCTGAAGTTTCCACTTTTAATCTTTACGCTGGTACATGAAGTTGGAAGAGACCATACCACAGGACAGCGTTTTCTGGTGTATGCCTTGCGCTCTGCCCGCAACGTGCGACCCCCAGAGATAGACGTGGTCAGGGTGACACACGGCCTGCAATGAAGTTCCCGCTGGCGGGTACAAACAAGGTATAATGTCAGAGTTAGAAGACAACATTCTTGTTTTCCTTAAGTTGTACCCATTTCAGTACTTTACCTGTTAATAGTTCTAAAAAAGTTTAAACCTCCTGGTACACAAAGCAAACAGAAAAACTCTTAAGTTTTTCTGTAATTCTAAAAAAGGTGAGGTAAGACTTTAAAGTTAAAGATCTATAGACACTTTAGGCAAAACAGGCTCATAAAGCAATTAAGAAATCAACAATTTAGTAAAGACTACACAATATTTTGTTTACTCCTCTTTTCCATTTGTCTATTGATCTTTAAATGAAATCAGACATTGCCAATGCTGTCCTGTAAGCTCACACACCTGCTTTCTCCCAGGTCCTCCTCAGTAGGGCTGGTAATTGTTCTGGTGATTGCCACCCCCTCGGGATGCCTTGCCATAAGTGCTCTGTTGACCTAGTGTGAAAGGACACAAGCTTTACTAAGAAGTTTCCTATAAAACTGTCCTTTTAAACATGAAAAAAACGAAGACCAAATTACCCAGTATTTAAAACTGTGCATGCTGAACATTAAAATATCAAGCCATCTTTATGAGCCAACAGTTGTAAATTGTACTTTAAGATAACCATCACTGTCTGTTACTATCCTATGACTATACAGCACAAAGACTTAACTCCAAACATCTCAATAGGAAACTCATACACACAAACAACTTAATGGGAAAGTACTTCAAAATTGAATTTTAGTACCACTGGTTTATAAAATTAAGTTAAGTATTCTTACCGCTGTAGTCTGCATATCCCTGTCCATATCCATAGTTCCCATAGTTATACCCAGTATAATCATATCCGCCATAGCCACTATAGTTTTGATCACCACCATAGGCACTATTATAATTTCCATATCCTTGATCATAATAGTTATTAAATCCTTGGTTCCAGTTTTGGCCCTGACCTGAAACAATGCACAATGATTGTTAGGAAACCACTCTGAATCCTTCCAATCCTAACACAAAATGATGCATTCTTGTCCCCTACACTCGACTTTTAAAAACCTCCCCACAAACCAGCCTTTATCATGTGGGATCATTTTAAAAGTTTCAATCTGGCTGTGCTTTCTAATGGGCCATTTTACCCAGCAGTGTACTGCCTCAGTTAAAAAAAAGATAAATCAGTATCCCCCAAAACGAAGCCTCACCTCGTCCACGCCCCCTCGCTCCACCTCGTCCACCAGCCGCTCCACCTCTCCCGCCCTTCTGTTGTTGCTGTTGCTGCCTGTACACCTCTTTGGGCTGTGCAACTTTGATTTCGCACTGAAAACAAACAGAATTCTTGCTGATGTTCTAAGCTCAAACACAAAACCAGCTTTCTTTTCAAACAGGTTTTTCACACACAATGTAATTCAATGGATTTACCTTCCCAGACCCTATCTGATGGTATCTGCTCTCTAACAATTTCTTTACTGGTTCTTCATCTGTGTATGTGATAAAACAGAATCCTCTTCTTTCATTTGTTTTTGTATCCATGGGAAGCTCAATATTTTCTATCTGAAAGCAGGTGTATTCAAAACAAACAAAACCACTCGTTAACGGTAGTGCAGAATGCTACAGGCTCTTTACAAACTTCAAACACGTTCTACTGGCCACTGCTTTCTAAAAAGCTGTTATATTTATTCCTTCACAGCATCTTTTACCCCAGAGGCCACCGGCTGGTAAAACACCCATCACTCTATAAGGCCTTGGGCTTTGGCCATATGAGATTAGATGTTAAGTGTCTACTATAGCACAGGAAGCAGCAATCAAGATGTAGTAACTAGAAGGCACCCAAGCAGTAATTCAATCCTATCCTCTTTAATATTAATGAACCCTATGCAAACTTGACCAAGCACAAATATTTCAAAAACACAAACGTGTACAAACACAGCCCACCTCTCCAAAGGCTCCAAAGTATTCTTTAATTTGTTCTTCTGAAGTATCTGGACTCAGTCCACCCACAAAAACCTTTTTAGGGGGTTCTTTTCCCTTTAAAGCTTTGGCCCTTTTGGGGTCTATCAATTTGCCATCCAGTTTGTGTTCTTTCAGTTCCAAAACCTAGAAGACAAGTTAGACAGGAACTTAGAAGCCCACAGCAATTTGCAAGCAACACAAAAGGCACAAGGTGAAACACACCCCTACCTTATCCACACTAGCAGCATCTTTGAAAAGCACAAATCCAAATCCTCTTGATCTTCCAGTGACTGGATCTGTTTTAATTGTGCAGTCTACAACTTCCCCAAATCGAGACAAATATTCAGTCAAATCTTTCTTGCTTGTATCCCAGCTCAAGCCTCCAATAAACATTTTACTAGAAATAAAGTTATTAAAAAAAAAAAAGACTTAACAGTAACTCAGTGATTACTTTAACCCTGTAATTAAACAATAAAACAAGTACAGGGCAACTTACTAAGGGCAAGCCATCTACTTTGATTACAAACACTCACAGACCACAAAAACCTTAAGATCACTTGCTCAAACCAGCAGACAGGTTGCTTCCTACTGCCCAAAGACAAAACTTTGAAAACGAAATCCGGCAGAGGTTCTGCTCCGATGACTCTGGGACGCCAAGCACAACTTCCACACCGAACCCCGCACACAACTTACGTGGACTTCCGTCCGTAGCTCTCAAGCCAACTCGCTAAAACCCCCAAGAACTCTCAGCACCAGCGAGCGACTGGCGCCCCAACCAAAAAGTCTCCCAAACCTCCCCAGCGAAAAGTCGCCCCAGCAGCCAACCACAACAACACGCACAATGAAGAGGAGGCGGCGGCGGCGGCTGCAGCTGCCGCATGTGGCGC